ATTGGCCCGGTGCGTTGATGAATGGTTACTGGCGAAAGCCGAGCAGCATTGGCTGTTGTGTTGTTCAGTAGAAGCAATCAATGGAATCGTGTGGGAGCGGTCACCTGTGTAGGAACGGCTAGTGCTTTCGAAGAACTTGTTTCGAACAAACTGGCAAAGCCCATGAGGAGCCGTGTGGTGAGGCAGTTGGCAATCGGAGATTTTGATTCCGGGAATTCGCTGATGATTCGTCGGCATGCTGCCACCGCGGCTGAAGCCACTGGCTGCCACGGGCTGCCACTCAGGCCATCTTCAATTATTCGGTTGGTCAATAGCACCGCTGCATGGCAGGGACCATGAATCGCGCAAGAGCCATTTGGCGTCAATAGCTCGCCCGGAGCAAAGTCAGCCATTTGAAATACCAGCATTTGTCGATGCCGCGCCGCCACTGCAGGTTGGTACCCCTGGGGCGCCAACTTGGTAACCTGGTAGCTGGGTTTGCTGGTGTTTTGTTGGCCTGCTCTCTGTATGTACGGAGTACTCGGCAGCTTTTGGCACTGACCGCCTGTGGCAATTTACTTCCTGGAAGCGTCATAGCTCATGGCTGCCCCGAGCAAACCAAGCCAGCCAATGTTAGATGTTAGTTAAATGTCAGATGTTGGACGCTGTACTCCGTACGTTGGATCTCTGCGCTTCGGAAATCACTGCCGAGCCAAAACCGACAGATGACTTTGTGTCGTGTTTGCCTGAGAATTTGACAAATGACGCGGGTACAAAAAGAAAAGGCAAGCCGGGCGAAGACGGGCGAGACGAAATATTCCAGTTCCCAGAGAGCCAGAATCACCACGAAGATGTCAACGAGCCAGACGCGAGGTTCATATTCAATATCCAGGTAAATCCGGAGTAAAACGGGTCGATGGCTGGGCACAGAGCACGGTGCAGAAGCGGGGCATGCTTGGAGTTGAGAGAAGCACAGGTCACTTACTTGGTCTAGAGCGAGGAAGGAACGAGCCTGTTCATGCCTGTCCGACTCCCAACTCTTCGTCGCAGCACCACGTGCATCTTTCATCTATCTCCCATCTCCCGTCTCCAGTGTCCCCTCTGCCGTCTTCCATTGCTTCATGCAATATCCTACCTTTTTGTTGGCCATCCCTGTCTGCAAACATTAAAGTTGGCCGGTGGCTGAGTTGGCTTCTTCTCTCGTGGGCACCCAAGCAAGTATGTAGCAATGGTGGCACATCTCCACAAACCCAATGCCATGTCTCGCTGGCCCTGGCATCTTGAATAACCCTGCTAAAATGAACTGTCAGTTTTTTTTTTTGCGACGCTGCCAAATTGCGGTGATGCCACTGCCGACCAACTTCGCACTCACCCATGCATTAGTCAGTTTTCTACATGGTGCCGTTACACATGGGCAAGGTTTTGGACCCAGCCTGTCTTGACATGCCCCTGTCGTGTGGCTAGCCGAGTTCTGTGCGTTGACATGAGATCGCTTTGGCGCCCGGGGAAGCTGGGGATAGCTGCGGGATCTTCATCTGAAGCCGCAACTTCGCTCGGTGAACAAGACGTGCAACGACAATGGATCCCCAGCCGCATTTCAAGTTTGACGTCCAGACGGAGCAAGGGACGTGATGCTGTCCCACACCTCGTACGGAGTACTCCGTACAGCACACTGGTCCGATCCGAAGACATTCCAAATACGCAGTAAAATTAGTCCCAAACAGAAACAAAACCAGTCTCGACCACTGATCGTACATGTCAAATTTTGGTCAACTCTCGGCCCATTTCGATATTGGACCCCCGCCCATCCGAGGGCTCATTTCAAGTCATCAGCTGGGATCGCACCGGCGAAATGGTGGCGCAAGCCAGGGTCAGTTCAGGTGCGCCGCCGACTGGTTAAAGTCTTCAAGGCTCCAGAGGGTGGCGAGAAAGGCGCTGACCACTTTCATGGTGAACGGTTGAACGGCAAACGGGTACTCCGCAGATAGAGCTCAAAGAGCAAACCAGAGTCAAGTGGGAAAACATTGGTAACACAAGCAGCCAAAGCTGTGGCCGTCGGGTATCCGTGTGTTTTATTAATTGGCCAACCCTACCAACATACCGGCAACGACTGCTACTAATGCTTCCCACCTCGCATCATATGTGTCTCGCTTTTGTGCATCATTGATTCCGGTGCAGACTCTTCGCCACATGCCTGGTTGACGGGGGCTTTGCAGCGGCCAAGCTGCGAGGCTTTGTTGTCCCTTTAATTATCCCCCTTGGGTATCCTTTTGCTTCCAACCGCCCAGCATCTCGAGCATGCTTGTTCTGCCAGACCGTGGTGGCAACTTCGCAGACGAAACGACAGCTTCTGCTAACAACGAGGAACACCGACTGCATAATCGCCGTACGCCGTATAGCTCACCACCAACAAGCCGCCAAACTACTGTATACAAGTCGACGGAAACCAACTTTCACCGCTAAGCCCAAGTATGCAACTTCTCCTCGTGTCATGGGTTATTCAGGCAACCCGGGAACTGGTCCCGTAGACCATGGTGATGCGATTTATGCCATAGTGGCATTTGTGGCACTGGCCCTGTATAATGCCATTGAGCTCAACGTCATCATCTTTTCCTCGTTTCGACGATTCAGTGGTCTTTACTTCTGGAGCTTTCTGGCCGCCACTAATGGTATTATACCACACTCGATCGGTTTCCTCCTGAAAAATGTCATCGGGTCGCACAATTATGGCATATACATTACCCTCGTCGCCATCGGCTGGGTACCAATGGTTACCGGTCAATCATTGGTCCTTTACTCTCGACTTCATTTAATATTCTGGAACCAACTCTACCTTCGGCTGGTCCTTGGCATGATTATCGTCAATGCCTTTATCCTCCATACACCCATTATTATTCTGATGTACGGGTCAAACAGGTCGCCCAATAACTCGTGGGTGCATCCCTACCTCATTTACGAAAAGATCCAAGTCACCATGTTCTTCCTACAAGAACTCATAATATCGGCGATATATATCAAATGTTGCTTTTCATTTTTCGATGTTCAAGACAGCTTGTATGGGGACGGGGTGCGCAGGATGCGCCGCCACTTGCTGTGGGTCAATGTTCTCGTTATACTTCTTGATATCCCCATTTTGTGTCTGGAGTACGCGGATTACTACGATATGCAAACGGCATACAAGGCATTCGTGTATAGCGTCAAGTTGAAGTTGGAGTTTAGGATATTGAATAGGTTGGTGGAAATGACAAACGAGAGGCACAGCGTGGATCCGTTCCGGGATAGCTCGAGCTTGCAGATTGAGCATGTATCGTCGGCGTCTACGGCGTGTCAATCCCGAGGTGGCAATGTATCATGATGTATGACTATCTAAGCATGTTAGAGCAGTGTTTGTGTATTCGACTAGGGTGTGAGCGTGAGCACCAGCAACACATGCCATCCACCGAGTTCATTGACAGTCGATCTTGTCCGCATTTGTGCCAATGTCTCAAATCATGATGGGAGTTTTGTTGTGACAAGAACTATATAAAACGTGACACTAGCTTCACATATCTTTGGAGGTCTCGAAAAACCGCAGGCTAATCAGCATGCAACATTGCAAGTCTAGTCATGTTACAAGAGGACCACGTTGATCAGCCACCCTTTGTGCGTTCCAAACACTCTGTGCAAAGGGGCAAATTTTCAGATGCACTACGAGATCCTCCATTTAACATTTAACCGATTATATCACGTCTTACTCTATTGACACTCTTGTTTTCTGTGGCTAGCGTGGCGGCTAGTCTCGATTCATTGCGGGAACTCGCCGAAACACCATTTTGCACTATCCCAACATGGCTACCCTACGACTTGCCTTGGCCAAGCTTTTGCTAACCTAGATTCCCGAAGAAGCACCCGATATGTGTAGCCTGTTCCTAATTCTTTCCGGGCAGACCAACGTACAAATGCAATATGAGCATGGCTTTATCAGAGAAATATTCGAGTTCAAGAGCGGTATGGATTGAGTCTTGTGCAATTACTCTCATATTTTGCGGTCTGCCGTACTTGAAGGTCATATATTAACTGACTAATATTTGGAAGTATTGCCCACCTGTAAACTCTGGATCACTTTCCTATTCAAGCCCGAGTAGGGAAGATACTTTGTTGTGCCGATCTTTTTGCCTAGTCTGTGCATTTACCTAGGATAGCTAACGGTATGAATTATATCGAGGCTAGTTAACGTCTGGTGTCTCATGACTTGCCTCCCGAGACACAGAAGTTACCAGAAACCATGCTGGAGAATAGGGACACGACTTCTCACGGTCACTCACCACCATCTCGACAGTGTTAGCTGGGAGGTGATGACAAGAAACCAGCCTCGTTCACGGCTCTTTTCCGCTTCTACATTACTTCTATGCTCGTTGAATACCGCTCTTGCTCAAGAAGGTGTAAACCACGGAGTAACAGTCTCAAGAGAAGAGGATAATTACCATCACGTATACGGGTTGTGACCACGGATGTACGCGAGTAATAGCCGTGGTGCTTGACATTATGCGCATTCGCATTTTCGCATTTGACAATGGCTTGAATCTGCCGAAATATACACAACTGCATACGAGTTTTTGACGGAGGTTTTGGCAAGATGATACTTGGAATACGGTGCCTCTAACATCCTAACAAGGCGTCGACATTACAAACAATGATGAATTACAGAATAGTAAATCCAATAGGATCATACCAGCATTTCTTATCCAATTTCGTAATCATGGCTCGGACACATCCCCTTGCCTTTCTCACAAGTATTCCACGCCATGTCATCGCCCTTCTCTCAAGCACATGAAAGATGTAATATCCGGACTGAGATTCTTGTCCGCCACGATGGAACTGAAATGAACAGAGGAGCTATTACAATCTGCAGCATTGCAGCAGTGGCAAACAGCCATTATGAGAAGCTAATAAACTCATGCCCATCCTTCAAACAAAGTGCACTCTCGCGTCAAACCAGGTTCCTGCACATGCAAGGCGTACTGTGCCAACGCTAGACAAGCCTAGATGGCCAGAACAAACGCACCCAAAGCACCAAGGGCGACAGCCCCCTTTCTGCCCGCACCAGCGGTGACGACGGGAGGGCCAGTGGCACCGGCAGTGCCGTTGGTCGAAGGCGTGGTGCCCGTCAGAGTGCCTACAGCAGTGGAAGAAGCAGACAGCGTGCTGACAGGCTCGGCCCCAGACGTATCTGTAGGCTCAGAAAGGGTCGAGGACGGAGTTGAAGTTGGCCGTGCAGGCAGGGTAGCCGTCTTGGTGCTTGGCGGAGGAAGAACGCTCAAGGAGACGGTAGCGCCACACTCCTCGAGAGACTGCCCGTTCTCGCAGCACCCGGCGTTGGTGCAGTAGAAGCCCTTGGGGCAGTATTCTTGACATGTGTGTTAGTAGTAAGTACGGCTGTCAGAAACAGCAATCCACGGAGGGGAAAGGGGGACGTACTGCCGTTGGAGCAGCACGAGTCTCCTCTGCTGGGATTGTAGCAGGTAGGAAAGGCAATACACTCGACGAAGCCGACTCCGCAGGAGCGCTCGCAGGTGTATGGGGCGGGAACGGGCTTGCAAAACTGCAACTGCCGCTCGAAGACGTTCCTCAAGGCCATCGAGGTAGCTGAAGATCCGGCCTGGAGGGCGGCCGACGCCGAGGGGACGGCAGCAAGGGCGAGGACAGCAAGGAGTTGCATGGTGAATAGCGAGTTCAGTAGACTTTGGAAGATAGCGACAGACTTGTAGAAAGAAAGCTCGGTGTGTTGGGGAGCGAGCAAAGAATCTCGGGTTGGAACCTGCACGCCCGACTTATAAAGGATGGCTCGGGCATTGGCTGATGCCAACCATCACAGCAATTAACACGCCCTACATCCACCGCGGCAGTTGGGTACGGGCCTTTGCAACGCAGCTTGGTCCATGTAGTTGCATATACGGCGACTTTACGAGCATGGTGTTGTTTTTTCTCGATCCAATCAGACTTCCTGGTACCTGGAAAGGGCTGAAGTAGCCACCCTTCTCTAGCATACCCTCGCCAACCATACACGTGTGGCGTCATCCTGTAATTTGGGAGCTGAGAAAAATCGTGAAGAGGCTCGAAGATGTCTGGCCTGCGTTCTTGGTGACGAAGCCAGGCTGAAGGGACTTGCCTGGCTGTCAAGGATGAGAGTTGAACGCGCAACTGCCGTACTTGCAACAGAGGCGGGGGGTTGTGAATGAGACAAGTCGACAATGCTGAAAAGTTGCGGAACAAAGTTCCCAAAATGACACCATTCATGAAAACTAGACAAATGGATATTTCACTAGGCTACTGCTGAGTTTGCCCGGCCATTCAGCCAAGGGGCGAAGCAAGCTGGGCGTGTAAGATACAAATTACCCAGTGTTTAGGATAACCAACAAGGTCTCCATGTACGCAAATAGTAATACATACTTTGTGGAGCGATAGTCGAGTGGCTTGCATGTTATCCCTGGCAGCATAACAGCTTACGACGTCGCTGAGTATAACTAGGGCTGGAGTTGGTGCGGCTACCCTTGGCCATTGTATTTTTTCTCACGAGCAAGTTTCGGCCGTTCTCTGCATATTGCCTTCCGCGACGTGAACTGGTCGGCATTTGCTCGAATACTCGAGCAGCGCACTGGGCCATCTGCCGAATGAACTGGTTGGAGGACGGGGGACAGTAAATGTATACTTGGGTATACATGGCCCCGATGGCCAATGTTGTTCTTCTTTCCGAGCTCTATTCACCATTTAGGGACCACCATCAGCTAGATACCAAACAATCCGACTACAAGACGATCTATCCATTAGGAAGCCTGCGAAGGAATGCAGCTTGCTCCAGTCGTCGTAAGATGTGGCCTCTTTACCGCGGCGTTTGAGCACTGGAGTTGGTTCTTAATACACCTAAAACGGGAGTTGGAAACAGCGTCACAAGAAACGAATACGATATTTATTTAAAACTGAAAGGGTTGCAGGTGTTCGGGACTGGTTCAAGAAGCGTACTGCCCACAAACCAGCACACTCTCACAGACCATAATCACCATGAGCCATGGCAGTACCAACCCTAAACATAGTGATTTATTCCACCAATGAAGCAATCAATCGACCATGTCCGGGAGTGTGTCTTCTCACGTCACCATCCAAAGACCAGAACCCCTTCGTGCCCGAGAAGGTGGGCGGCCACTAAGAAGGCGATCTAGTCAAGCAGCACCGACACAGGCGGTTACATGTATAAGCCGCAGACGACATGAGGTGTATCAGGGAGTTGTCGAGTTGTCCCGACGTAGATACTAGGTTACAAAGGCCGTGAGCGATGCAAATCCACGTTGCACTGCATCGCCATCCATGGTCAACCCCGGTCTCCAGCGGCACAAGAGCGAGCCGGGGATACCCAATCCTTTGGATCTTGCTCGAGTTTCGTCTCTCAGAAGACATCTCCCCTCCGAGAGACCAGCGGCCGGTCGCAACGCTGAAAACTGCCAATATACGGAGTTATTCCCGGCACGCCAAGCGAACGGGCCAAGATGGCTCTCGGCACACAGAAGCAGAGCTCTAGGCGTCGCATAATACTTGGACTCATGGCATTTGGCTCGAAGCCAGAATTCGGCGCACGTCTGGTATAACCCAGCTTGGCGCGTTCAACGAGAACTGCGCCGAAAAGGTCCTGGCCTCAGTAGAGACCAGTCTCGCGGAGCTGTGCACCGACACTGCCGATGTGAGGGCATGTACAACATCATTACGCGCAACATCGACACCGAGGTCTCCGCGGCCTGCCGCAGATACGGGCTCGACATCAATTGTCACCAGACTCGCCGTCGGCGGGGGGCTCTTCTCCGGCAACATCGGGCAGGGCGTCACGCCGGAAGACGGCCGACTATTGGTATGGCGATGTTGCGTTTACGTATGGCCCGATTCATACGCTCTTTGGGCCGGGTGCAAAGTGATGAGCCGGAGAGTCGTCACCGCCGTCGTTGTATCCTTCAAGTCGGTCACGGTGCTCTTTTCAGAAAAATGTTTCTGTTTCTGCGTTGGAGGTGGGATTCTTGTTGTGGAATCAACGCGCCTCATATTTCACGACGTGTCCAATACTCCAAGATGCGTATTTGCAAAGTTCTGCCGCCAGTTGAATCATCAGCAATGCCGGTTTGAACTCCGAATATCTCTCGGTAGAAAACGCCCCTCTAAACTCAAAGTCCCGGTTATCATCGTGAATAAAACAAACAGTCACGTCGCGTCCCTCAAAACTCCAACATGCACAACAAACCCATCCCTCCCCAACCCGCCCAACAACTCCCCCTTCACCCTCCAAACACGAAACCCGTCCATAAACGCACTCAACCACAGTCTAAAAACCTCGTCATTCCTCAGCTGCTGCGCAACAACGCACACACACGCCGCCCCGTCCCCGCCGTCATCGACCTCCCTCCCCCTCAGGGCACATACATCCACGCACGTCTGCACAAACGGCCCCGCCAGCGCATAATTGTACACACAGTCCGCCGCGAGCACCACATCAAACGACGAACCCGGCGCCGCAAGCCCCGGCGTCACCTCGTCCTGCTCCCAGTCCAGCGGCCGAAAGTGCACATCCCCCTCCGCCTGCACAGATTTAGCCCTGGATCTCGACCTTCCCGCGGGCGCCCGATTCGCAGACAAGTTCTGCTCCACGAGTTTCTGCACATAGCCCTGGTCAGACAGGACGTAGCGCGATATTCTCGGCGCCACGGCAAGCGCGTTGAGCGGCGAGATGCCGCATCCCAGCTCGAGGACGGTGGACGACGGCGCGAGGATGCCGCTCGTGAAGAGGGGGTTTGTCGGCGACGACAGCCACTCGGCGAAGAGGGGGGCGACTTTCCACAGCACTGTGAGTGGTATTAGTTGATTTGCCATCCGTGGGCGCGGCGCAATGGCACGGCCAGGTCTGCGAAGAGGGGACACGTACCGGCGCCCGTTGTGCCCCCGGCCCTCGTGGACCCCAGCACCGTTGGGCTCTGGTGGATAGTCAGATCTCTGTCGGCGAGAGTGATTTCGAGACTGGTGGCCTTGGGGTCGATGAAGCCCAGGTTCTGGGAGGGAATGGCATTCGAGTATAAGAGGAATGTCTCTGGGGAGGCGAGGGGGTGGGGGTTAGTTGAAGCCCGGGAGTGGGACGACTGGAGACGAACCTTCGTCTGCGTCTTTGATTTCCTCCTCAAGGAAGGGGAGGAGGTCCTCGAAGGGCATCGTGGCATTTCTCAAGGCTGTCGCCCAGACATGTCGCCAGGTCGAGGTGATGATGGCCTGTGAGAATCTGAGGGGTCAGGTCGACGGTTAAATTCGTTCAGTCACGTCAAGCGCCCCACCGCTTCAACTGCGCTGATTGATAAGAAAAGAAAGGCCCATTCAGCTGGGATGAAGCTGTTAAAGGTTGCACGTGGCAAAAGATGCTCCGGAATTTCACCAGTCATACATGCTTTCACTTGACTGCGAGTGCACAGTGAGACGTGCCGATTCACGCCCTTGGGTAATCGACAACACGTGTGTGGTCCTAGCGTAATTTCATAAAAAGACATGGCACTGTTGTTCATAATAATAAAAAGGAAATGATGAGAGGCATCTGACATCTTCTGTGCTTCCAATGCATCCATGCAATTGCGTATCCCGCGCTTTCCATACACCGTTTCGTTCCCACTCTCGCCAACTACACCAACCCATCGTACAAGGACAAGGCTGACACAATCGTCTCATCGCGTTTGCTCCCCTCCTTGAATTCTTGCATATCCAAAGACCCGTTCTCGTCCTTGTCCATCATGCGGAAAATCTTGCGTACACGCTTCTCTGGGGTATCTTCGTCTTCGGGCAGTTTGACCATGGAGCCGACCTAAATGGTGTCAGAAACGCATCTTTACGCCAGCAGCGTGCACTGTCCACATTACCATCTTGTAGATTGCCTCTACGATTTGTAGCATCTCGTCATAACTAATCTTGCCGTCGCCGTCTATGTCGTATAGCTGGAATGCCCAATCTAGTTTGTCTTCCATCTTTCCCCGGCTGGTAACACTCAAGGCACAGATGAACTCTTTAAAGTCAATGCTCCCAGACTTGTCGCTGTCGAAAACATTGAAGACGTAGTCGGCAAACGAGGTGGGGTCGCCGAATGGGAAGAATTGCCGGTAAATCTTCTGGAACTCCTCCTTGCTCAGCATGCCCGAGGGGCAGTCCTTCAGGAAGCCTGAGCCTGGTATTAGTGATGTGTCTCAAGCTATCGAATCATGTCTCACGTCCGCAGGCAGACACGCCCATGGCTGTGCATAACGTGGCACGCAGCCGCGGCATCAAAGTCAAGGTCGCGGGGGAGGGGGAGGGGCAGTTCCGTCTGTACGCACCCTTGTACCACTGCTGAAGCTCCTTCTTGTCAAAGTGCGTCGAGTTCTGGAGCTCGGTGAGCTGCTCCTGCGAGAGCTTCGACTGCCTGTAGGCCGGAGGACATGGTTAGCTCGTGTGATGGGTCGAGTGCGTGTTGGGTGGCGGATGTTTCGGCAACAGATGGGCTGCCAAGACAGTTTCGGCATGAAAAAGGGTGCTAACGCTCCATGGCAAATAGAAACAGGCAATAGCCAGGAAGTAGCTGGAGATGGCTTACGATTTGCCCATAGTTCTCTGGATGTGCGTCGCGTTGTGTATGTGTTGTTTGTCGTCGCGATACAAGTGGCGGGGTCGAGGAGCGACGGGCGCCGATGACTGCTGGCGCAACGGCAGACGGTGTATGCCGTTGTTCGGACGGAGCAAGCGACCCTTGGGGAGATGCGTCGAGATGTGTAGGCGCGAAGACTTGGCCGGGGCGAGGGTACGTTGGGCGTGAGAGAGGGAGAGCGAGAGCTGTCGGCGTAATCGGCGATGTTGGAATTCGGTAATCAGGGCGACGGCGCGGAGGAGGATGAATTGCGGCAGCGTTTGGGCGCGGGGAAGGGGGTATGAAGAGACGACGTCGTGTAGGGGATATGTGAGGACGCTCTTTGCATACAAATAGACAGTTGAAGAAGTGTAGAAAGTGATCAGCGATGTGTAGGGATGCCAAGGGCAGAGGTGAGTAAATCTACTTAGAGGCGAGGGCGTTAAGTATCCATATCGGAGAAGGGACTGGAAACATACCTGGCCGCAGTGGACGAGGGAGGAGGCGGGCAGGGGCCACGCATTGCTGGTAGCGAGTCGCACAGCGAATTGACACTCAACGTCAGAACAAGGCACGAACAAGCACCGCGCCGGCGGGCGGCTCTAGAATGTCACGCGGCGAATCAATGGCTCTGCCCCGGCTGGAAGGGTGGGGACGGGGCCCGTGGGAGCTTGAGAGTCTGCAGACTGACTGACAATGGACCTCTTTGACTTTTACTGTTGTTTCTCCAGTTCCTCAGATAAATACAAGCTGTATGCAGGTCGGCCCGGGCAGGGAGATGGATGGCCTCCCTTCACAAAGAGCTGCACAAGTGTTATGCGTCTGTGTCGTTGCGTTTCGCATCCTAGCACATGGATGTTTCAGCCTGTGAAACCCGCCCGTGATGATAAATCTCCTACTGGACTTTGTGCGGCAAGCTAGCAAAGCCGGCTTTGTACGACGGAACCAACCTACTGTAGTCGGTGAGAAGTGTCCAATTCAAGAGGCAGCCGAAGCCGATTCGACGACAAGGCCATCGCGATGACGCGGAACATTCAACACAGACCGAGAACACAGGGCTTCCGCAGGCAGGACTAAGCTGAAGGAAGGCACGACTGCGCCAGGCGGCTCTTGCCTCGCCACCAGGCCGCCACTTGAAAGGTTCAATGTTTGATGGCCGTAACCGTGGGACCGTCATGCCTTTCAAGCTCGCGCGTGAGCCGCATCTGCGTCCATCAATCGATGTCGCCATCTGCATCTCCAACTTTGTCCGCCTGCAACCAGACACATCCACCACATCCGCCCGTCACAACCCGGCTCTCCCTGTCGCCAGCACGTTCCTGTCTGCCGCACAGCAACGAGCCGCCCAAGATTACCGAACTCGACGCCGATCCGGCCGCAGATATCAAACCCCAAGATGACAAACCATCATTGGCTTCGATTTCCCCAGCCCATCTCCACCCTCAAGTCCAATCTGACGATGCGCATGTGCATCGAAGTCTTGCACAGCCCCCTCCATCGCGCTCAGCCCACCCTAAGCGAACATGGCCTCAGCTCAATCCGGTAGGTCCAGGAAACATGTCAGCGGCAAGGCTAAGTGCAGATCATATTAAAATACTCCGCCTTGTACTAGTATTGTCTGCTCTTTTTCCATTCTAACTGCAAATCATTAGCAGTTGAGGCAGCGTGCCCTATCAAGGCAGCGTGTAGCCCTAGTCTCGCTCAAATCTTACTATTGACGCATTATTACACCGCCACAAACGACATCATAGCACCAGCAAAACCAACTCCATTCCAATCAAATGACAGTTTCTTTGGCATCGACGACATATGACATTCCGCAAGCCTCTACCACGACTGGTATTTCCTTTCCTCAACCAAACGCCTGCAAGCCGCGGAATCGGCGAAAATTGCGCCCAGACCCCTTCCATATACGTCATGTCGTGAAAGATAGTCACCAGTGGCGCAAGCTTCGTCTACAACGCCGTTCAGCACCTCTACAACCCAAATATCAGGTCAAAGATCCAAACCAAGCCACCCGATCACACTTGTCCTCGTACTTGGCCAGACCAACAAACGGATCAATCTCATTATGCAAATAACTCTGAAAGCAGGCATAAGCCCATCCACAATGCCCTGTAGTTTCTCCAAGCAAGCACGCCATCCAGATAGCTCCAGTACGTGACAAGGCCATCGTGAAACTCGGCATGTTTAGCCACGTTCCCGTTCACCAAGCCTGGCACGCCCGTTTTCTCATTCATCCCAGGAAAGACAACCTCCCCGCCGTCGTCGTGGCCCTCCAGCATCAGCGCCCACTGGTACGCAAAATTGGCAAAGTCGGCCTTGTCCCGAGCCGTACCATCGGCGGACACATTAACGGCTTGGTTGTAGACGGCATTGGCGCCGCGGAGGATGCAGCTGGGTATTTGAAGCCGGTGAGCCCCTTCCCCTTCCATGACCTCGTGGTCGGTATTTATTTCTTCACACGTGCGATGAATGGCGGTATACCTCGTCTCCGGACTTGGGGGGGTGGATGAGTTTAACCCAGGGTTTCAAATTGCCTCGCATTCTTGTCTGGATTGCAATGGCGATACCTCGACGAGAAATGAATTAGTTAGAATTCCGATATGTTAGCTAAATAAGCGTATTTGAATACTGGAAGCCTCCACAGCTGGCTGAATCTCAAGCCATATCAGCCGCAACAACACGCACTCGTCCACGCGCTTCGGGTCGCCTCGAATACCGAACCCGCCAGTTTCATCCATTCGGCAACACGAACCGTTTCGCAAGCTCAAGACAGAATCGGAATCCAGCCAGCCAGCCAGCCAAGCTGTTATGCTGGTCCTAGGGCTGAGTTGGCTTCGCTCCAATAGCATGATTGGACTTGACAGCTCGTACCTGGTGAAATACCCGTCCGTGGGTGTTGAGGAGTTCACCCGACGTCGCTGACCTCCGTCTACCAACATCAAAGTTCCGTGCTGTGACGAATCCACGCCCACGGCAGCGGGAACAGGCACCAAGAATGCTCGGCCGGCTCATACATAAATACTCCATTCAGCGTAGCTAATGCAACAGTTGATGTGCGCCATACACATGCCCAGTCAGCCATCATGATATCTAACCCAGCCACCCACCAAGTACTCCCAGCCAAGAGAGGGCCAAACGAAAAACGAACCAAGTCCCGCCGTATATTACACCTCCAGCGTCAACGCCATGGCTCCCTGCGCTGAATGTCCATCATCATGATCCAACCAGAGACGAAACACGAAAACACTCGCACTTATCCAACCACGGCCTTCATGCTCAGGCTCTCCAAGAAGCCGCCCAGGTCCTCCTTCCTGACTTCCACGGCGCAGTGCTCAAAGCTGTCGATCCGCACCCGCGCGTTTGTCTCCGACACCACCTCCTGGAACGCGCTGCCAAATTTGTTAAGGCCGTAGCCCTTGTCGGGTTCTGCGTCGGCGTCGTCGTCGTCCCCCGAGTCCTGGTCCAAGCCAGAGTCGGAAGCCTCCGACTCTGTCTCCAGCTCCTCGTCGTCGTCTTCCTGACCGGCGGCACGTTTTGCCGCGCGCTTCTCTTCCCTAATCTTCTCCTTTGCCAGGCGTGCGGCTTCCTTTCTCTTGGCCTTGGCCTCCCTTTCCGCTCGTCGCCTTTTTGCTGCCTCGCGGTTGAGGAATGCCGTGTCTGGCCCGCCTCCTCCCCCCGTACCAACTACAATGTAAACACTGCGCTTCTCGTTTAGACTAGCGACCACGAGCGGTGTTCCTCGTCCGCCGTGAGAAAGTTTTCCGTGGGCTTCTCGCTCCTGCTCTGCGAGCGCTTCTCCTATCCACAAGGATAGCTTGGTTAGAGCAGCCGGATGCGTGAACAGGGCCACGTCTGGGCCGTCCTTGACAACGCACATCCGGAATGCCCGCAGGTGTTTGATCTGTTTCTTGTTAATGAGCGAAGTTCCCGTTCGATATATGGCGCGGTGCAGGAATTGTGCTGTAGGAAGGCCGGCTTTGAGAGAGTCGATGCTGTTGGCCGCATGTTAGCGAATGTCATGACCGATAGGGGCGGGCTGAGGGGGAACATACTCTTCCAATGCGTCGTAGGCTTCCCAGAAGCGTCCAACCCATTCTTCCGCTTGCGCAGCAAATTCTACTTCGTCCTCTGCATCATGGGTAAGTTGGCTAGTTGGCATGGCGACTTCCGATGCTTGCACATGTTTACCAACTTCCAGCAGGGCACCAATGACAACGCCAACGTCTTGAGCGCTGAGCGTTGCTCTCCAGCCCCAGCTTCGTACAAATCCCCATCCGTCCTTGGCACCAGCCCGGTCCTTGTCGTCAGTATCTACCGCCGGTACCATCTCGTCTAGGTTATATAGGGAGCCGTATTTTAAGAGTTTCGCCCGCAGCTCGCGCTTCAGCATCATGTCCATGTGCGTGTAGCTCTGTTTACATTGTGCCAAGCTCACACCCATCTTGGCCAACAATTTGTGGAGTCGTTTGATTCCCGTCTCGCTCCAGGTTTTGAGACGAGAAAATAGATATGGCGAATGTAGCATACTGTCGTATAGACTCCAGTGGCGGATAAGAAGGAATCGAGGCTCAGGGGAAAGCCGGATACCAGTGTCTTCAGGATTTCTAGCTGTTGTTGGAATCACACCAGCGTTCTCTGGCGCGACCCGACCGTTGGTAACTTCGGGCGGGTTAAGACGTCTGACTTCGTCTCGGAGCAGTTGGCGTAATCTTGCTCCTCGAACACCCATCCAGCCCGATGGTCTGCTGCTGTCATTGGAGCGTATAGGTGCTGCGGTGCCAGCCGATGACCGGCCGTAAAGCTCCATAGATGTAACCCCAACAATCGTTAGCCAGAGGAGATCGTTGTCATCTCTACCCAACTCCGACGCCAACGAGTACATCATTGACGAAATAGGTTCTGCAAACGATGAGCCCATTCTATAATAGCTGTGAAGGACAGCCTCCTTTTCTTGGCGCAGTCGCAACAAGCGTCTTCGTAAAGCTCGTGCGGATGGCGGTGGAGGCTCTTGTGCGGCGGATGGCGGCTCAATGGCATCGCTCGATAGTCCGGCTTCGGGACCTCGTAGGGAAACAAGCCCTCTATACGTAGGTCGGCGCGGTGAATCGGCTATTGGACTCGACTATCTTGTGTTAGTTCATGGTCAAGGTGGCGTGCTCAATTGTGCCCTACAGAGTTGCTTCGTCGCCGTTGATGTGGTCGGTCCTCGTCGTCAGTCGACTCATCTTCATGCCCGTCAGACCAGCTCTTTCTTTTCTGTCCGGCGCGTGGAAGTTCCGGATCCAAGCCATCGTCATTATCATCATCTTCGTCGTCATCGTCGTCGTCTGTGAGGCCTAGCGCCTCTTGGTCGTGATCAATATCTGGCATATCGACCAAGGCCAGGTACGCGTCGCGTTCCTTTTCCATCGCTTCTTCGATATCACCGTCATCAAATACCACAATGCCGCCCTTCCCGGATTTATATGCACGCTCAACTTGGCCGCCGGATATACCAACCGGAGTACGTGACTGGTA